GGTAATTATAAATTTTAAACAAATCCAGATTAACTAAATGTGCATTAATTGGTGTTCAAAATAAGACTAATTTATCACTAAAATAAATTCTAAGCTCGATAGCATTATTTTGATTACTAAAATTAATTTTCGTTAATAGAACATAGGCCGAAAATTATATTCAATATGTTATTGTAAAATAATCCAATGGAACTTATTATAGATAAACCACTGATTATATGAGCTAGTTACAATACCAAGTTTAACATCACTCACGCTCAACACATCAGTCTTTCTAAAAAATACAAGATATTGGAACCTATAGTTCTACGAGGAGTATTCATCGTTTTGATCTCATAATTAACAATGGTAATGGGATAAAGTAAACTAGATTACTTTTTTTTTAATGATTGTTATTTCATTTCAGCTAGCTCATATAATGCGGATAACTCGTTTCTAAAAAATAAAAATATTAACTTCAAGTAAAACAAAAATATTATTGATGGCCTCACATAATAAAAGTAGTATTTCTGTTTGATAATGACAAATTTTCAGTTAAGTTATTACAATAACAAAATATTAACTTATTGAAATAACAAAAAAAAAATTATTGCAATGATTAAGTCTACCAGTTTTTATGCCTAGGCAGCGACTGCAGGGCTCTTAACACACTACGGTTAAATTTTATAAATTGTTTCAATTACAATGGACTATTTATTATTTTTGAAGAAAAATACGACTTATTAGATATAATTCCCAATCCGTGGAAGTCGAGGATAATAATCAATCTTCAAGGAGTTGAAAGCTGTTACAAATTCTGAATAATTTGTTTATTTTAATAAAAAAAATCTAAATCTAAAAGTAATTAGAAATCCGTAGTTGAAGGCTTATCCAATGCTTAACCATTGAGCAAGCAGATAAGAACGGGTTTCATTCAAATTATGAAAAAAAATCAGTTTTAAGGTTCCAATGTGTGGCCATCAGAATTATTATTGCAGTTTGTTGACAGTTTTATAACAGAAAAATAACAGTTTTTTTAATAAGCAGTCCAAGGAGTAACAAGCTAAATTACATAAATAGGTTTAAGCAGAAATTTTAAAAATAAAAGTAACCTGACAATGGATATTAGAGAAGAGTAAATTAAAAATGATTAGCAGCAACATAGCGTCCTTCAATAAGTGCTCAAGAATATTGTTTAATCAACATATTTTGATATAAAAGTGTTCAAATACATTTAAAGCTTCTTTGAGAATTATTAATTATTCAAACAAGTCAGTGAGTATCCATTAAGGTATTTCTTTGACATACATTACAAGGACATGCATAGTAACATTATTATTTACAGATATGTATCTACAATTTCAAACAACAATTACACATTAAAACATTTAATTAAAAAGAAAATACTAGAGTAAGCATAGTAAAATAATTTATTTATATATCTCATTACAATATTTCCTTTTTCATTCATGTTAAGAAAAAAAAAAGATATATTAAAAGGAACCACTAACTTTTTATTCTTTAGTTTATGAATTTTAATTAGAATAAATCCTACCAATAAAATTGATTATTAAAGTAATTTTTTTATTATATCAAAATCAGATCAATTAAGTATATTCATGTTTCACAGATTCGTTAATATCTTCATTGTGCCACAAGCTTTCTTATTTAAATGCATTTTTAGTCACTCATAATTGACAGTGATGAATGATCGTTGATGAATGCAATTTACAATCTAGTAATGGAAAAGCAATGGTGATATTAATGGTATTGTTGATGATCCGACAATAAAACAAACATTATTTAATTAACTTCATGATTCATCAGATATTAACTGTTGGACAACAATTTATAATTTTTGATAAAGCAATTCTTTAGGACTATTTCGCACTATATAAACCCAATTAAAATTCAACAGAAAATTTAAAGAATATAAATTCAACATCATAGATCCATGAATTGTATCATTTAAATATCAAAATATTTATTATTAGTCAATTCCCACTTATCAATATACAATACATCACTACTTTAGCACCCTATCTATTACTCAAGTTACCCGACGAACCTAAAATAAAAGGAATTCTTGTGAATTAATATTAATTTATACTACTAATGTAAATCATGGAATATTTGGACCATATAGTTTAAGCGTTTCAGATTTTGACATTCTTATCATTAATTTTCTTCACTTATAATAATAAATAATAATTTGTGATGTAGCAATATAAATCTATAAATATATTTTGATGGCTCATTATAAATAAATAAGTTACTTAAACTAAAACAATTAATTACAAAGACTTTTCAATAAAATGACACAATATTGCTGGTATCTTTCCAAGTCCAATTAAATTTTAACTATTCAACAAAATTGTTAGACTTTTTATCTTTAACTAACCTTTATAAAATTATATTAAAAATCAGCAGCAAATTCTTTATTGTCTACTAACTTAAAATTATGTATAGAGATAAAAAAGAAAAAATTATAACAAGACCATCTTTATCATGGCATCTAAAGTGCAAATTATAATTTTGGATCGCTTAGCACAACACCATAATAAAAATGTTAAAGCTAAATTTAAACAATTTAGTTATTACGACAGAGAAGCAGCCAGAACCTAATCAGAATTAGTAATGGTTTAATTTCATGGGGGTTTATTTTTATTTTTATTTCACATTATTGGACCCATAAAATCTCTCTTGCCCGCTCTAGCAACAATAAATTGGGACATAACCTGTAGGATAACCTTCCCATTCTGCATTAGATGCAATGGGTAAGTGCCTTAAACATAATGAAAAAAACTAACCAATAGCTAAGAAAATATTTTATTAAAATTTTGAGAAATGTTCTTTCAGACAATGAATGTAGTAGAGGGAGACAGATGTGGAACATCTAATATTTGACTTGCAGAGCTGTGTAATCTAACAGGGCGAGCGGCTAATAGTTTTAGTGTGTATCATTGTACTTATAGGCAGGTCAGCAGTCGGTGGAACCATCGACCTGGTTGACGTTAACTAAGCTGTTTTAAACTTTTAAGAGATGTTTTAGTTTTATTTTATTATACAATCTATCTGTCTCAAACACAATACCACACAATTCATAAAGAAATATACATCTAAGGTAGTCACGGTTCCAAATAAAACCTATAACAATAATTTCTCTAATTCAAAATGGTAAATATGAACGTAGAATACATTTTTTTAAGAGTGGAAAAAAAGGTTCAAGCTCATTTAGATTTTGTGAAAATGTTTTTAAAAACTGACATAAAATGTAATGTTTCTATTCGCTAAGGATTTTTGTGTAATATGGAGATAATATGGATATGCAAAACCAAAATCTATTTTTAGAAAACATAATTAAGGTTCACATCCGGAATAACAAATTACATTTCTGATTATTGTAAATAAATTTAGTTGTTTGACTTCTATTTATAGCTTGGTTTTATGAACTAACCTTCTTTAGAATTTAAAACATTTTAAAATAAAATACTAGTTTATATACATTTTTTATACTAAAAATATACAGTAAAATAAAAAAATTAATTTTTAATAATTTAGAATGAACTTAATTTATTGATTAGTATTATTTTAAAGTAAAAAGTATTATGAGTTTAATTAAATTCAAAGTAAAGAAAAAATAACAGTTAAAAAAAAATGTGGGTCCCCGTTTCCTCCCATTATATTTTTAAGGATATTTGACTTTTTATAGCTTTAAAAATGGTTGAAATACAGAAACAAATATAATATGTTATTGATAAATAAGAATTTTTTATATTATTTTAATATAAAATGTAATTAATTTTAAAGAAAATTATATTATTTAATGAAAATATTATTTTGTCTAATGATTAATAGAAGTTATATCTAAAACGGTGAGTTCAATAACAACACTATTATGTCATCTTTATGAAGAAAAGTTTTAAGTTTTAACATTTCCCCGGACAGAAGATGTCTGTGGGTAATTTCGACATACTAGGGAAATTATCATTATCATATGTAAATCACACGTATTCAAGCAATACAAAATTCAATTACTCAACAACACTATAATAAAATTTCAAATATTCATTTATTAAAAATCAAATCAATGAGTAAAAATAAGATTTTTTTTAATAGGTTAATTAACATTTAGTAAGAAAATAATGTATTACTCTAAATATAATTAATCTATTTACCATAGGGAAATTATTATACATAGCCCCTGCATCAAAATTGCATAAAGATTCAAAAGCCAATAGATATTTGCGATGAAAAATATCTTTGTGTAGAATAAATATCAGAGATTTAACAGTTGATGCCTCGCCCAGACAGAACTGTTTCTAAGATCACAAGATGCATCAGATCTAGACAACTAAATATATCAACCGTAATCAACTACGACCCAACGATATGTATTTCATAAATCAGCGTTCAAAAATAATGTGAACTAATTTTAGGAATTAAAAAGTACAACAAAGCTCTTTGTCTTAAACGTACACAGTTATGCGAATAACTCTGGTTTTAAAAGGAAGGAATAGTTCAACTTATCATTTCTTCATTATTGTCTTTTAAATTTCCTTTCACAACTTCAAATATATTATTTCTATTATACTGTTAAAAGTGATTATTTATTTATCAGAAAAGAATTGTGACTTTAACAGGACAACTAAATTCCACTACGATCACTCAACATTTATAGGATTAGTTTAAATAAACAACTTTACTAGAATCACTTTGGAAATTAAGGGATATATCATAAGGTTCTGATGGAACAATATGAAAATGTATCTCCAGCAAGTTAACAAAAAACGCATTAGTACAATGTCACATCAATTTTAATTTTTAATTCCAAGAAAACTAAAATACCTTTGTTTATTTTTTCACCTTTATTTTGTTATGTTCTAAAATATTTATGGTATCTATATATTATAATTAATATAATAATTTATCAAATTTAAAAAAGTTAAAAACAACAGATCACAATGTTAAAATTATCTGCATTAATTTTACTATTTGACAATACAAAAGTCAAATAATAAAACCATAATTCAAATTTAATATTTTAGGTTTTGATCTAACTGTTTCTTAAATAGATGAGATTTCTTTTAAAAAACAGGCATGATGTCTGTTCTTTGAAGCAATAAACATTAAATGTTATATTACAGCAATGTACACATAAAATTCATAAAACTCTGTTAGCCAATACGACTTATCAACACGTGCGTAGTGTCAACGATACTCAGCCTAATGGCATCCATCTATCTTCTTCAAGAGGCTCAACCTTCTCACGAAGAAAGATATATCGAAACTCCTAAGAAAATGTATCTTCAGAGCCACACTGGTGTTGCTTTCAAGTCTTTAAGACTTACCATTGCGTGTGAACCTCAATGTCTGCCTTAATGTCTCTTGATGTCTAAGCAATGTGGTCATCTGGAAGTTGATAACAAAATAAAAATAAAATGTAAAAAACATGACATGAACGCAGATAAGGTTAACCTTAAAAAAAGTTTGTAAATAATAGTTTGAATTTTTAACAGCTTAACAAAAGAAAAATAAATATTTAATAACTAAATAAATAAGTGGCAAATGCATATCTGCCCTACCTGTCTGATGACTTTTATCCACTTAATAAATAAATGACAATGCTAATCTTTCCTACCTGCCTGATGACGTTTATCCACTAAATAAATAAATGTTAATGCTAATCTTCCCTACCTGTCTGATGATGTTTATCCACTCAGGATCACGGCGACCAAGATTGCTGGATACCTTGTCCGCCTGAGTTGATAAAAACTCTTTCAGGTGATCACGTAGGTCTAAGTCTTTCAATCGCCTCTGGTAGGTGTAAAGAGCATTCTCGACAAGACCTCTCTCAACCCGTTTTCTCTGTAATTACAACCAATATTTAAGATGAATTTCGACACATTCATAGTAACCAATATTTCAATGATATTTTATATTTATCTATTTTTTTAAATAAGTAATTTTCATGCATAAATCAGTAATAATCTGTTATACCAAGACGAAGATCACCTACCTCATGAGAAGACAGTTTGTAGAAAGTATCTTCGGGTACAAAATCAATTGGGATATCAGAGCCCTGTAAATAATTAGTTAATTAGCTAACAATTATTAATTTGTTACTAAGATAAATTAAACCTTGCAGTTTTAAATAACATAACATTTTCTTTTCATGTGCATAGTATATCCGAGTACATGTGCATGTTAAAGTTCAAATGGATAAAGAGAATAGCTGTATTTTTTAGGAAGAATTGAATTATTGCTAATAGTAAAAAAGTAGACTGTTTGTATTATAATCAAACAAATAAGTAATAACAAATAAAATAAATCTGGTATATATGATAAAAGGACAAATTGGTATATTATTAACATTTCTTTTTTTTAATCACACAAATTCAACAATTGGTGCATAACCAAGTTGATAGAGGAACCCACTGATGATAAACATCGGCCTTATTGTAATATAAAAACACTGTAGTTTAAGATTAAAAGAATACAAATTTTAAATTTGTAGATACAGGTAATTTGAATTCAATTATAAATCTTTTTATAAAATACAACTTTATAAATAATTTTCTTTTATTTATAAGTTCAATTACTTTTACAGATGTTTATATAATTAAAAAATTATCAATCAAACTTTGTAATACCCAAAACACATTTTTTTCATTAAAAACCAGGACAGTGTCTATATTAATTGTATGCATAAGGTGAACATGAACCTTATTACATAAAGACATTTTTAAGGCAAATGCTCAATGGCATGGGTCCGATGGCCAGCATAATGAGAATTACCATTTCATAAAATCATTTGTTTTTTTTCGGGGACCAAAATATTTATTATAAGTAAAAACACATCTTCCTGTATAAACTATGTAGCAATATGTCTTTTTATTTAAATTTATCTAAGCCTATAGTATCAAGCCAGATCTCAATAGCAAAATAGTTATTCACCTAACACAAATAGTTTCATTAAAACTTTCTATTTAATTCAAAAATGGCTTTTTTTTTTGTAATGGTTATTTAAATTATTTTATAATGATGTAGAGATGGTTGACCGTTGATATAATATGAGAAGGAGTTAGTCGAGGGTGTGGTCAATTTATTTATTAATCAATCAATCTATTTATTCGTTAACATTCATGTATTTATTTTCTTTTATCTATTTTCTTATCATGTATTTTGAAGCCCTGAAGACGACCTGCAAAGTGGGTCGAAACGTCAGCAAAAATTAAAATAATTTATATATTTTAATTTTTTTATTTATTTGACCGCACCCTCGACTAACTCCTTCTCACTTAAATTATTTTATATTTTTTTCTAAAAAAATAATTATTGGCCAGTATAAAATTTTATTAGCATTAACAAAAAAAATAAGACTAGCTGAGATGACATGCTTGAATTAATTTATAAGCTAATAAAAATATATTTTAAAAACTTATCCCTAGCTGACAAAACTTACCTTCAACTGATTTGCCAATAAAGCAAGAGTTTTATATTCCATCTCCAGTTGTTCCTGTAATAAAATAAAAACACTGTAGTTTTAAATTAAAAAAATACAAATTATAAATTGGGTGCGTTAAACTATGATAAAATTAGACACAATAATTTCTTGGAAATTATAAGTTCTAAAACCTCTATTAATTGTTACTTAGATAATATTGTTGGTTTAAGAAAAACATAATAAAACTTATGATACCCAACCTTTCTATAGAATACTGTTATCACCATGCTACACCAATATACACTGCCATTTCATATAAATCTTATTAGTAAAAAACTTTTGGAAGATCTCTTATTACCTGTATGTTCTCTACAACTTATATCTCAAACATTATATGTCAACCCTGTTGAAGAGAAATCAGTTTAACTCAATAGTAATAATCAATTTATTTTTGTTACTGTAATTAACATCTAAAAAATAACTCCCAACCTCGCTCTAGTGGTTTAATAACACGTGAACCTTGTCACCTGACCCGCCAGCACAATATAAGAAGCAAAGAACGATCAAGTTTTTTACCTGGATTTGGAACACTCAAACATTTATGGATATGCCCCAGCACTTAGAAAAAAAGATTAGAAACAAATCATTACGATAAGCATAGGTGCAGACTTTCGATTTTTATTAGGGAGGCATGGACCAAAAAAAAAAAAAAAATATGGCTGGAGTTTTTATGTGAAAAAATTCAACATAATTATTGAGAAATGAACCAATATCATATTTAATATTTTTTGTTTTACTTACATATATCTTTTAAAAAAATACAATAGAATGTATAACGTATTTGTTTAGATTAAACACAGGGGAGAGGGGATGCAGCCTTCATAATATTGCTACATTTCTAGAACTTTATCAGCTAAAAAATGAATACTGTAAAAAAGTGAAAAATATCTTTGATTTCTTAGCATGTACAAACTCAAATAAAAATAAATTTTTCACAGTGCGACTAGTTTGCTGCGGAAAATGTGATAAGAATATCATGTGAAACTTGAGGGATGATTGAATAATAAAATGATAAGGTATTATGTACGATTAACGTGGACTCGTTAGCAATCCTTTTCCTAATTTATGTACGATTATTGCGGACTCGTTAGCAATCCTTTTCCTATATTTGTATCAAGCTGAGGCTTCACTTAATTGATTCTATAGCCCAATTTTTTTGCTTTGATTTATTTCATTCACAGTATTATATATTCTACTCGATCTTACTTGTTTATAATATTTTCTCTTGGATCGATTAGTATGCTCAATTAATTAGCAACTCAACACAATTCTTAAGAGATTTTTAGTTATATTGCAATATATTCTGACATTTTTATGTTTTATTCTTTTTATAAGAATAATTTATTGTTTGAACAGTGATTTAGTTCAATATTTTTCAAGTTCTATCAATTAATTTAAAAAAAAATTCTAGTAGTTTTTTATTTGTATTTGAGTTCATAAATGACAAAACAAATTCACCAAAGAGTGGCACACAGCTGATGTAACAGAACAAATAATTACCTGCCGCAGCCAAATTAAAATTTGGCTCCCAAAAAATTATCAATTAAGGGCACCAAAGGAGTAATAAATTGACAAGAAAGAAAGGAGGATCAAACACAAATAAGCACGATATAGGAGTCCAAAAATTAAAATCGGATGAAGAAGAAAATAATAATAAAATATAAAACGAGACCTCTTTTTATTTCAATTAACATTGCTGCTGTTTTTTATACTTTCACTTACCTTTTTTATATATATTTTTACTTTCACTTACCTATATATGAAATATATAGTAAAGGAAAGTATTGCGATTGTGAAAATTTTTGAATTTCAGTTTTCAACAGAAATACAAGTTTTGAGGTCCCCTGAGTCCAAATAACCAAGTCCCACAAAATGGTGTGTGTGTATTAACAGTGTAGCTCCAACACGAAAAGCTGTACAAAAATGAAGTTGCATATTTAAGGTTTTTATATGCTAGGGATGTTACGGTAACTTTTTCGTCAAAATCGACTGACCGAAAGTGGCACTTTATATCATGGGCTAAACACATTTTTACCATTTTCTCGGCAATTTTGATTAAATTTATTATATCAATGTAAAATTAAGCAGCTTTAAATAAAATGTAGTTTTTATTCTGATTGATGTTCTCCAACAGAGCTTAAATGGCTAATTTTCAATATTAGCTTCCTCTAAAGTACCTTTAGTTTTTTTTATTTGAAACAATTGACTATTTCACATTAATTTCTAATATAAAAGATAGTTAATATAAAATAAGAGAGCCTATGCTAATTAACTAAAGGAGAAATAAAAAATCGTGACGGAGAATAGTTGCAATTGACCGCATCAGAGCTCACCTGAACTATTACAACAGGCTTCCGAGCTTAATATAATACGGATTCTGACTATATTATATAAATATAAATACGCGGTTTTCATAAATGCAATTTTTGGTATTATTTAATATTTAATTGTATAGATTACACCGATATAAATAAAAATACCCTCAATGAAATATAAATAATTGTAGCATCAATAATTTTTACTTTCACTTTTCTTTTGTCTGAAAATACTTATTTCTGCTAAGAGGGTGGTAGGTGAAAGTTGTGTGATGTGCGCATCTCACCAGATTAATTTTTTTTGGTTTCTCTGTTTCCTCACCTTTAAGACTATATGGGGTTTTCCTTTTCATATATATATTTTTCTCTCCAATAATTGGTATTGTTTGGTACTACACATAGTAGTAAAAGGAAATGAAAAGTGATGAAAATGTATAAATTCAACAGATTTGATGTATGATAAAAATATGATAATTAACTGTTGTTTTCACTTTGACTTCCCTATATATGAAAATACCTATCTACTGTAAGATTAGTAAGTGAATAATAATACAAAACATCAACAGCTAAATACTATCAATAACTTAGCAGAGTAACTAGACAAACAAATAAATCACTTACATTATCCAAACTGAAAAGTTTGTGATGAATATTAGAAGTAGTTTGACCATTAGCTGCTAACTTTTCAGCAAGTTTAGGCCCGCCTGTTTTTTCTGTTCCTTGGTTGTCCTTGGATTTCATCGCCATCTTAACCTTAACCCCTTTGTCTTTGTCCTGGGTCTTTTGTGCCATATCGACTTTTAAACCATTTTTTTCATAAGATCTAAAGTAAAATAAATTGTACTTTAAGTAAATGACAATAGCCTATAACAAAAAAGAGCTATAGATACCTAAAGAGATTTGAACCGCAATAAAATTCATGTGATAAAGATTGCCTATAAAATTAAGATTACATTTATTAAATTATAAATTTTTTTCATAATTAATGGATACTGGATTGAAAGGGTAGACCCTAGTGTGACATATACTAATGGTAGTCCTCGTGAGCTACAGTACAACCCCCATAATTTACAATGCCAAGAGACCAAAGGTTTATTATGAATTATCGGGATTTTGAAACTGGAATTAAAAATTATTAATTATTTTAAAAAAAGGAAAAATTCAGATTAACAGGATTATCAGTTTTTATAAAATTACATATATTGACTGTACAATATGAAATAAAAATGATTAATAAAAAACATAGACTAAAATATACAATGCACTTTATTATCCTTGATAAAAAAAAAAAAACCTCAATAACTGTTTCATCTTGCTGCTTGAAGGTAGTCCAGTAGGTTTACTCCTTTATTAAAATTGAGGCAAGCGTAGAAGAAGGAATATTAAATTGTATGGCCACATTAACTTTTTTTTTTATCAGCAATTCCTTTTAGAATTTCATTTTTTCCACATCACATGAAAGACACTTATTGAATCAATACTAAATTGAATAAAAATAAAAATAAACGATATCCAATCCAATATATACAGGAAACAGGAAAAATGCAAACAAAAATGATTCAGAGAATTGAATAGTAGGAAGGGGATTTATTTCCAAATAACGGGATTGTTAACAGCGACTTATCAATTATATCATGTTTAATTGGCCACGGATACAAAAATCATTACAAATGATCAATAAGACCAAATATGCATTGTATTTTAACAAATAACTGTGATCACTCCTAGCTGGAAATCAGCAGTTTATTTCAAATTAACAGGATTTATCAATTAACCCCATATGAATTATAAAGGTCGGCAAATATAAATATAAATATTTATTTTTATTTTGACTGATCACCCCAACCATCTTTCTCTTTAATGAATTATAAAGAGTGTAGCTATTGTAATTAGCCAACAAAACAAGGAGGGACAGAGTTAGGAATGAAAGGATACGGGAAGACCTGGTAGTGATTGCTTTTAGGGAAATAGTGGAAAAGAGGCAGATGGTTGGTTGTCTATGCATAATGGATGAGGACCATGATCCAAATTTGTTTGGCCAAGAAGGCAGGCATACCGGACGCCGTCCTCGACGAAGACCTAGATTGCTATGGATAGACCACATCTCAAGGATGAGTGAAAAGAAGGGAAAGTTCATGAATTCAACGGAAGAGCTGGCTCAGGATCATTAAGGTTGGATCAGGACACCTCCACGCTGAGAGGCACCAAGGAAGGAGATAAAGAAGAAGTACTGTATTTGTATATTTATACACTACTTGCCGGCTTAGTTTATTTATTAATAAAAACATTTCATTCATTTATTTTTACCAACAGAATGAAAAAAAAAAATTAAAGATATTTCATGAATAGGAGTTAGAGAGGTGAAAAAATACCTTTAATTAAATTTATCTTTAATTTAAGTAAAGAATCTGATCTTCAATTTATCTTTGCAAATAGTTATCGTAAAACTCAAAATTACTCCATTTGGACATAAACTATCTCCATAGTAAATAGGTTTGATAAAAATTTGACTTTTAAGATTTCAGGAATTAATAAAATAAATTAAATGAAAAATACCCTTCAATGAGAACGCCATCTTTCGCAAAGGTAAAAGTTTTTTCCCCCAACACGATCCTCCTTCCTTCAGGTTCTGGGCTCACGCCCTGCCTTTCCAGCCATTTCCTGTTGTCCGGGGAAAGCACAGACTGATTGAATCTGTAAAAAAGTAAGTTGTTTAAAATTATTTATTTGTTTTTTAGACAGACATAATAGTTAGGTATTTTGTTCATTAGGATTGAGAGATAAGGAAGGATAAATTGTAAATCTCACTTGTGATTGTGGTAGGCGTGGGCGTGGCGATGGTGCTGATTGTTATTCCTGCCCACTTCTGCCTCTCGCAGCCTCTCCATGATTTTGCCCACTATCCCTGACGGAATGGTGTTGAAAGGACCTACATCCCAAATCTAATTAACAGGTTGCTTATATATTTAAAAAAAAAATTTTTAAACTAAAGAGACTTTTCACTTAAATTTTTTTTGTTTTTTGTTTATTTAATGAAATTTACAACCAGTAAATATGCACAAACACTTAAAATAGTATGTAAAAAATCATTTACAAATTTCAATATTAAAGATGCCTCCGCTTGGTAAGTTTATCCAGAGAGGTTAATTAAATTTTAGGTGTAAAACTTAAAATTTACTTTTTTATTAAGTTTAAAATTGAGGATGGAGAAAAAGAGTTAGCTTTCACTAATAATAAAATGTATTTTGAATATTTGTCCATGAAGAAACTTAAATGAAATATAAAATTAATATGACTTAATCTTAGTTTAGTTGTGAAACAAATACAATTTTAAATGATGTTACATAATATTTTTATATTAACTTGACAAAACGTATTAAGTATTTCACCACCTCACGCTCCTGAAATTTCTTTGCAATGTAAATTGTTATAAATAAAAAACTAAAAATATCAATTAAGGTTCTACAGCAATAATGTTTCTAATAGTACAAAATAAAAAAATATAAATATATATAGTAACAACTATAAGGCTTTAAAATAAAAAAAATAGATCCATGCAATAGCAATAAAATAAATTTTTATCTATAAAAGACATTACAAACTTTACAAATAGATATTTAAAAACTAAAAATAAAAACAACACACATAGAAGATGATCAAATAATAAAAATTGCGATAATTATAAAAGAAAGCGAGGAAAATATAAAAAGAAAAGAATATAAAAATCACACAAACTCACACAACAAACAAGCAACTTACTTGAAATATGAAGGTATTCTCGATCCTGAGAGAAACAAAACCTTTTTATTAATAATTTAATAAAGATATAAAGGCATCTAATACATTTCATATAATGTAGCCAACTAATTATTTCCAGTGATTCAATAACCCATTACTATTTCTATTGTAAAATGCTACAACTAGGCATCATAAAATAAGAAACAATTATCTCAAAACTTAAAGATCAAAATTTATACAGAACAACTAACGCTAAAAAATGTTCCAAGTTTGAAATATATTTCAATTATATATTAAAATAAGGAGAGCAAAAAAACAACAACATTTAATTAACAAACTAAATAAATTTTCTCAAGTATAATTGAGTTATTTTTATTTGTTATCTAAAAATAATATGAATCACAACTAATATTCAACTTTAGAAGCAATCATTCCAAACAAGACATCACCGGTGCTACCTGCATCTTGCTCATTCAAACACATGAAGAATTCCACACCAACACAAAACAAGCACCAATCAACATTGTAATAATTACGCGGTCTAGAACTAAACTAACTTCTACTAGCTTTCTTTGTTTGGTTTGGTTGAATTAATTGCAATGTTACAACCTGTTTTGGTCATAAATCAAAAGTGATTTCATCCAAATCCAAGGCAAGAAGCAAGGCCTTTGATTATATTTATTTTAATATTTTAATAAAGATCTGGGAATAGCTAGTTCAAAGTTGAGTTTCGAATTAACATAAAAAAAAAAAATCTGAGTCACTTAAAAAAATATAAATATATCTGAAATGAAGATGAAAAGATTTAAGAATACATTATCTAGACACATCATTAACAAATACATAATGTGATATCCAATTAAAGGTAGAATTTCACTAATACTGCCCAACATAGTATTGGTATTGATGGTGGTTAATGTTCCCAACCAGAATGGGCTTTTCAAGGCTGCTGAGAAATAAATATTAACTGACCCAGGTGGGAATCGAATCCAAATGATTGAACCGGTCACTCTGGGATCCTCACCCCAACACACTCGGCCATTAAGTGTATAAAACTGGTGTTGCCCGGCAACCAAATGATTGATGAATTGAAGTTTAAAGATTACAAAGTAAAAAATTCCGAGTTCGTGTACCATTGCTAGGGAAGGGAGAAAGAGGGGAATTTAACTTTAGCATTTACCCCTGACCCAAGAAACTTCCCGTGTAGCCTAAAACGTAGGGGTGGAAAAAAAATTGCATGTTTCGTTGGCATTGCTGGGCAGGTGAAGATTACATCACATTACATCATCTCCCTTCTGCAGTATCTCGAAATCCACTCCTGAAGCAGCCTGACAGTTTGTAGTCGGAATTTGTCATTGTATTCCAACTAGTCATCTCTAAGGATTTTTTAAAAAATTTTTATAGTAAGATGAATAACTTGTTTTATTTAGTAGATACAGTTTCTTGTTTTGGAGCCTTTTTCATTTTTAATTTGTTTTCTAAAGTTTCAAAGTTCACTGAGCTGTTATGATCCAGAACCTGAGTTCGAGCCTGGCTGCGGCAGGTAATTATTTATTCTGTCACATCAGCCATGGATTGACCCTGGGGTCGGAAGACCTTTCACCCAACAACTGAATGAACGTACAACCAATGTTAAGATGAGCTAATATGAGCAAGAGCTGGATAGTTTAGTTACAAAATTACATCAATTTTAGCTGCGATAGAATGCAAGTGATGAAGATCATATACAACATTAAAATTATACCTTTTAAACAAAAATAAAGTTAATTTAGCTAAAAACTAAAAATAACAGTGCACTTAGGAGGTATGATAGAAATTGAGAATGCGACGCAAATAGCTGCTAAACACTATAGTGCCAAACCTCTTTCCAATTCTCAATGACCCAGGTTTTAGTTGATCAGGAACGACTCCCTCTATGTAGTTAGTAACCTTAATTAATTAATTGATTAAGAGGAAAATCCTGATTGATCATGATCCTGGACCAATCACATCCCTGCACAACCGATGGCATTGAAACAACTTCCTTGCAAAATACAGAACCCAAGATCATCCATACAATAGTAGATAGCCAATATTTACTCCTCTATGTGACACTGAGTGAAAGAATGAGAAAGAGTATATAGGAATATAGGGTTGCGCAATGAATTGGACTCAATTGTGCAGTGGACAAGTTGTTTATTGAAAAGTACCAAATGAATAAGCAATTGATGAAAAAGGTACAGAACAAACATCACTTGAAGGATGGACATAAAGACAGAGCTACGTGACGGCAGAAGAGAAACCTACTCCACTGAAGATTAAGAAGATCGAGGCTACAGTTATAAGACTTTCATAGCTTCATTCATTACAGTTGTTTAAATAAAATATCTTGGTATATAGGAGCAAATGGACCTCACAACTGAAGAATAACAAACCAGGTGAGTCAGTTCATTTTTCATAATCATATATATTCTTACTATTCATGCCACTCAGTGTCACAAAAGCATTAGGTTCCCGAATTCCCGACAGCTCAAAAAAGTTCATATCGAGAGCCGGGGTTTGGTTTTTAAAATTAAATTCACGGATGTAAATAACCAAGACTCCCTACCGACAAAACGGAAGGTTATTTACAATAGGTTGCAATGATGTTGGCATTTATTCATTCTTCATTCATGCATTTTTACCAGTACACTCTGGCAGACGGTGTGAGGCCATTGCTCTAATATTTCCTTTATTTTGTTTGTACATTTATAAAAATTTCAATTTGATAAAGAACTATTATTATTAATTTCCTCTTCCTTTTCTAATAAAAAGCTATAAAACAACGATATGAACAACGTAAGTAGAGTTACTGCATTGGTGACCGATTACAATGAAATGCTCAATACCCTGCCAGCTGTTAAAGTGAGCAGTTTCAGCAAAATTCTACCGAATGGAAATAATAAAAGTACTTTAGTGTAAAATACTAATTATAAAATTACCAGCGAGGCCCCTGTAGCCGCTGAACCCAGATTCGTAAGTGTCAACTAGCAGCTGCTGGTGCTTAAGGAACTCCTCAATAGCTACGCCTTTGAGAGCCGACGGTTGCAGAAATCTTGCTGGAATCCTAAACAGGGCAAATAAGTTAAAATTTGAATATCTTTCTAACCGATTTCAGTTCATTATTACAATAAACAAGAATACTATGTCAATATAGAATAAAATACTATCATTTTATTGCAAAAAGTTACTAAGCGTATTATTGATGGAGCTTAGCTTTTAATTAGATATTTCTGAATTTCAAGGAAAGTTGTGACAAAAATCACAGCAAGTTTATCAAAATTAAAAACCGTTTTATCACTAAGTGCACAATGTTCCAATTTCAGAGAGGGAAAAGGCACAAAGTTATTATTGATTTAATTATATGAATTTTTACTTAATGACTTTTTGCAATAGCCTCATGATATTATCATCAGAATTATATTTTGATTGCCTGGTCTTTTGTTATTTAAGATTAATTTTTCTAACAATTATTGTAATTTTTAAGCTAAAATGAAGTCTCTATAATTCGGCTGTCCTCTATTTTGACACATCCAGTGATATGGCATTCTGAGGATGTCAATGGTCAGCTGTTTTCATGTTACCTAATGTCTGCAAGAGCGGGAGACCATTATTATGTAGTAAGCAACTACAGCATTGTTGCGAGCTGTTGCTGCAGTGTTAGTTACTGTAACGTGCCGTATTGAACCAGTCAAAAGTGATAGCTTTGTATAGTCAAATTAAAATATCATTTTAATGGAATGTAAAAAAAAAATAAAGAATGTAAAACTTTGAAATGTTTGGAAAAATGTAGCAAAATTGGATCATCTGAGGAATGTATGAAGTTCAATGTTGTTGAAACAGACTTAATTAAGTTCAAACTCAAACAACCAGAGGCAATATGATAGTGAAAACAATATCCATCTCAATTAATTTTACAAAAAAAATGTATTATAGTTTTAAACATTGATTTATACAAATGACAAAATGTTTACCATGCACGATCATGACAATGAGACAGTTGTTGAGAAAGTTTTGAAATTATATATAATAGATAGCAACTACCAAATATATTAAAATGTTATATAAATTGTGAGTATATAAATAGAATTATTCTTAATAAAATAATTGTAATGTTCCAATTACAGAATAATTTTCCTCAAAGTTGGGTCAGAAATCCGAAACGTTGGACTAGGGGTTTATAAATAAATATTTACAAATGGAAGAGGTGCCTTCAATTATAAAAACCTAAAAAACTTATACAATAAAATTTATAAATATATTTTTTTTAATATCTAAGAGTGTATATAGGTATGTGTTTTATATATTTTAATTTCATTTAGCTTTTCTCTATTTTTTTTTCTTTCCTCCTGTTTTTTTTTTTTTTACCTATGTATGTTAAACTCTTTCTTTTATCTCTATTTTAGTTATCATTTGTATGTATATATTGTGTAAATGTTTTAATGTAGCCATAATATTAATGCCCTCCAATGCGGCAGAAAAAAAAAAAAAATTTAAGAATGGAAATATATCATTTGAAATTATAATTTAATACTTAAAATCTTGTCAAATAAATATTTCCTGATATATTTTTACTAGAAACTTCCTAAATTAATGAGCAAATACCTTCAAAATAATTACTTAATTATCCTCTTCTAATATTACCTGGAGACAGTGTCCGATTCTTCGACTCCACCAAATCCAAGTTCTAACAAGATTTCCTCGGGGTCCGGCTTTCTAGACTCCAGTAACGATTCCATGCTGGAACAGTGGCTCCCCGCATCGCTTCCACCACAAGTACTAAACAGAAGATGATAAAACTTATTAGTATTTGATGAAAACCTTATCAACAAATAAAATTTAAGAAGCCGTCACAAACTTCATACCAAATGCTATTATTCTACCACTGTATCAAGAAGAATAAAGTACAGTCACTTCATAAATATTCATCGATAATTCCATATAATTATCAATATATCTAGTTAATAAATTGAAAAAATAAATAAAAAAAACACCATCAATCCTTTGAAACATGATTAATGTAATATTTTATAAATTATTAAATAAACCAAATGAAAACCCATAAGAGACTACGATGCAACATAAAAGTTTTGTTTGTAATGTGACATCACTAATGATCTTTTATCTCATCAGGTTTTATCACAACATCAAACAGAGAAAAAATATAGTAGATATATCAACAATATGTTAATAAATGCTCATGTTTTTGTAGTTATTAAATTGATGTATTGTGTTATTAAACATATAATGAATTAATTGGTTCAAGGAGATAAAAACATTTTTAGAGCATAAAAAAAAAATTAAATATATTGATATTATATACACATATTTTCAAATTTAAATAAACTATAGACATTTGAATATTAATATGAAAAACCACTTTAGATATCAAGGGCATAAAAGTGATCATTTTCATAACCTCAATGGTATTCCATTTCCCTTTTCATTGTCCATGTAGGCCCAGCAGTCCTTCAAATTTGTCAACAATAGAAAAGGGAAGACTTTTTACGTATATAAAGATAATAAAAAACTACTTTATTTAAATTTAAATTCATTAGAATAGGATTTGGCATTTTAATACAATTCAGGATACATATTACTGTAATTACTATAACAATAATACCTTAATTATAACTAGAATTATATACTTTAATTATTAATATAATTATAATATACCTTCCATTTTTAGATTTTTCCAAAACAAATTTCTTTTTCAATATTGTTCCTCCTTTTAATTTGCTTTTATTCAATTTCTATCCAGAATTATTAAAACTCCTTTCAACAATGCAGAAAGAACACTTGTTAGTTCTTCTCTCTAATGTTCCCTTGCCTCAATTAAAACTATCCGGTTATATTATTATATATATATATATATATATATATATATATATATATATATATATATATATATATATATATATATATATTCTGGTTTAAGATTGTTTTTATTTCTTTTAAATTACACAATATAATATATAATGAACATAATAAAGTATATTCCCCTCATTTGTTAAATCATTCTGGACATTAGGTATTTCTTCTTTCTTTCACTTATTAAGATTTAAGATAATATTTGGTTAATTAATCATCCAATGGCATTCCAAAATAACAAATTGAAAAAAAGTAAATAAATAATTAATAGAAGCAAATCTGAAAACTGCTGAAGGAGAAAAATGTGAAACATAAAAATATAATGACGATCAACAGACCAACATACAGAATTAATAACGGAATGTATTTCTTATCATTAACTAGCAAACAATAACATGAGCTAGAAATATAAAATGTGAGCACACTACACAGTAAAAATAAAAAGCAAGGTAAAATGATGAATGATGCTTTTATAGAAACAATAGTGATGGCATCATAATTAAATAATTAACATGAAGATCCATAGAACAGAATTTAATATATAGAAAGAAATTCCTACATCAATAAAGATTGAAATTTTTATCATCGTCATGCTAATAGCAATTAAAGTTTATTTTTAGGTTCAAGAAGAATTAATGGCAATTTTTAATGACATTTTAATTATTCCTTATTGATTTTATCAAATTTTAAGGATTTTAAAGCAGTTACAAACTTCCTCCAAAACTATGAGGTCTTTTTAACAACCAAACAATTGTTTTCGAATTAGTAGGAACCATCCATATTTGTCCTAACTTCATATTTTTTCTTTTGCTGTACCTTCATTTTTCATATTTTAAAGAAAAACAAAGTTAAACTGAATTTAAAATTAGAACTTTATTTCACGTCATGAAAAAAAAATACAGGGAATGGGGGAAGTCAGGTCAGAATGGTACTCCAAAGGTTGCTTAGTACTCCAACTGTTACTTCTCAAACATGTGGAACAGGTATTTTTTCTTAATTATTGATTATCCATTCCAAAGTATCTTTATATAAACTAAGCTCCCCTTTTTATAAAAATTACGTTTTATATTATTTAAAATTTGTGACTTTTTGTACAATAAATAGAATTTTTTGGGAATAATAAGAAACACACATTATATACACAATCCTACTCTACATTCAACGCTTGTTTTCAACGGAAGAAACCTGAATTTAAAATAAAAATATAATCATTCAGGTTAATTTGCCATTGGTACATACAAAAGATAATAAGTAAATACTTGATGGTTGAACATGGTATATTATAATATTGAGTACGGAGATGGTCTGGAGTAGCGGTCATAAAATGACTATAATAGTGAAAAATATATTTTATTTAAAGCCAACGTTTCGACCCGACTTTGCACGTCTTCTTCAGGACTAGAACGAACAAGAAACAAAATGATATAGAAAAATGTGGAGGTTTTAAAATATTTAGATAAAAATTATAAACAATGTGAATAAAATTATAAGTTTAATAATTTTATAGAATAAACTTATAATTTTAACAAGTTTATTCACATTGTTTACAATTTTTATCTAAATATTTTGTAACCTCCATATTTTTCTATATACTTTTGTATATTGTTTGTTCTAGCCCTGAAGAAGACCTGCAAAGTTGGGTCGAAACGTTAGCTTTAAATAAAATATTTTTTTTCACTATTATAGTCTTTTTATGGCCGCCACCCTAGACCATATCCTTTCTCAAAAGATAATAAGCATGTGACAAGGATAAATCAACCCAAATGATTTTATTTCTATATCAAAGTAACGTTCCTTCCTTGAAAATGACCCTAGTGGCTGAAACATTGAATGTAAAGTAGAAATATAGTAGGACTATTTGGATCTTATGTGTATTTTTATTATTACAAAGAAAGTGGAAGTCCTAACCAACAATATTAAATAATAAATATATAAATAGAATTTCTTTAAAAATAATATATTCTGAGTCCTAATATATAGAGATTTTCAATATATGGAAGTTTGATATATATATATATATATATACATATATATATATACATATATATATATATATATATATATATATATATATATATATATATATATATATATATATATATATATATAAGTTGGACTAAATATAATAAAACTATCTGTTTGCTAAATGTCAGTTTTAAAGTGTAATTTTAATAATTTGAGTGCTATCAAAGGGTAGTTTCTCTTTGTGTTGTACATATCATGTTACTTGTTTCATATTTACTAGTTGTATTTATCAGTTATACAGTTGTAAATTTCAATAATAAAAGAGAGAGTCTATGAGAGCGAGTAAATTCTCACACAAAAGAGTAATGAAGGATATCATTTGGAACTAAGGATCAAAGACTAGAATTAAATATAAATTAAATTAAGATACTGATGTGACATTCTACTTACGTTGTTTTCTTCATTTATACACACAGTTCCAATAAAATTAAGAACAACTGCTCACAGTTAAATTTAAATAAATATTTGATTGGTAATTTACATAAGTACCTGGGCAATGGATTACACACTGGATAAAAAATAATGGAACAATTTTTGTAGTGTCGTTGAAAATGGAATCAGCCTCTCCAGGAATATTAGGCAACAGATAAGAAATATTCAGAAAAATGTTTTAATCACATTTTTATCCACTACTTTATAAAAAAAAAAACTAAAGCACACTTTTGAAAGATAAATTATTTTTATAGTTTAATTCTAAATACTTTCACAAGTAGTATAAAAATCATTTAATGTTAAAAGAAAAAATGAAACCATTAGTAAATAAAGCATATTTATGTACAAACAAGAAATAATGTGTTTAAAACCATACCATTAGGTTAAAAATTTATTTTAAAAAGTAAACTAATTAACATAAATTAATATGAACGAAAGATTGGTTTATTTTCTCAATTTTAATATCCAATATTCACTATGCCTAAATTTAAAATATAAATCTTTCTCCATTGAGAGATTGTGCAAATAAAAAGTTAAATGGACTGAAAAAATAATTATTAGTTATCTTACATACAGCACTACGAGAGCATACAGATAGATTTAAAGCTAAAACTACACTTGCAAATATAAATAAGCAGCTATAGAGGAAGCCTCTGGAGTGCAAGGCAGTTCAAGTGACTCACTAGAAATATCAATAAAATTAATAATAAAAAATATTGAAATTGGAGATAGTCATTCTGCCAACTGAGGTTCATATATTATGAGTGTGACTTTTAACCACAGACCCAGACTAATTTCTTAAATAAGAGCTATGCACAATAATTTTCTGTTATGCAAAATTTATTTTTATTAAAAATTATACTAAATTTTAAGAATTATAATTTTTAAAGGATTCAATTGAATATTTTAATGGTTTTTTAAATCAAAAGTTATTAAAAAAATTTCAATGTGTTGAATTGAGATGAATGGAGACTACTCTTGACTCCAGAAGATCCAGTAGCAAAGAACTATAACAGCACTTTAAGTAAGATTGCAGAGTTAGAAGTCATTATAATGAAGGTATCCTAAGCTATGCTCCAGAGCACTCCTCCCCCTTCTTGAATCAAAACCTTACACAACAACAAAGAAACTAGCAGGGATCGACCAATGGAAGAAGATAATCTGGGAGGACACAACTGAGGCATGGAACTGGTGGTATGTAGTGTTGACCAAAATCAGTCTTGGTCTTGCACTTTGCAACACCAAGACCAAGACCGCCTAACTGTTGCAAGATCAAGACCAGGACTGGTAAAAAAAAAATCAATTTTTTAAATAAAAATTAAGACAAAATAGTTACTAATACTTGACAATCTTAGTTACTATATGTTAATAATAGGTATAACCAATATACTTTTGCATTAAATCCTCTAATTTTTCATTTGGGCTTAGTTAGATTTCTCCTATCTAAAAAC